ACAGAATGTATTGTTAACTATACACTGTTTACCACATAATGTTTTAACAATGTTATTAGTAATATCACGAGCTAGAGTACACAGAATGTATTGTTAACTATACACTGTTTACCACATAATGTTTTAACAATGTTATTAGTAATATCACGAGCTAGAGTACACAGAATGTATTGTTAACTACACACTGTTTACCATATAATGTTTTAACAGTGTTATTAGTCATATCACGAGCTAGAGTACACAGAATTCTTTATTATTTTGTATCATTATTTAACTCTATTTGTGCTTTTAAAAGTACAAAATTGTTAGCTATTTTTGTGTGAGTGAACGAGATTTCAAAATAATACATAGTAAATCGTTAAGAAACTTTAACGAGCTTTATACCCCGTGGCAGTTTTGGGACGAAGTGTTAAACTGTTTTATACTGATATACATAAGATTAACTACGATAGCCTCAGGAACAGATATTTCGATCAACATCCAAATTGAAGTTAACTCAATTTTAGAAGAGATTCGTGATTTTTATACAAAGATATTCACACGGTATGAAATAGAAAAAAAAAATACATTTTCATATAAGTTACTTGCAAACCACTTGCATTGTTATTTGTCACATTTTTTACAGCCAGGTACAGAAAACCCAATCGCTACCTTGTGGGTTGTTGACATTACATTTACGTCAAGTATTCCCGCCCCGAGAAATCTTCGCCCACCGAAAGAAATTCAAGAAAGGTGAGTTTAAAAACAAGCATTGTATTATAACCGTGTGTACCATTCGTTCAATCCACTCATTAATGTGAAGATTTACTATATTGCATGACATTACAATAGTCCGGCACATTTGCTATAGATATTTATCATACTGCGTGATAGTTACCATAGTTCCGTGATATATATTATATATTACAGGACATTCAATATAGTCCGGATATTTACCATAGTTCCGTGATATATATTACTATATTACAGGACATTCAATATAGTCCGGATATTTACCCTAGTTCCGTGATATATATTACTATATTACAGGACATTCAATATAGTCCGGATATTTACCCTAGTTCCGTGATATATATTACTATATTACAGGACATTCAATATAGTCCGGATATTTACCCTAGTTCCGTGATATATATTACTATATTACAGGACATTCAATATAGTCCGGATATTTGCCTTAGTTCCGTGATATTACCATATTGCAGAGCATTCAATATAGTCCGGATATTTACCCTAGTTCCGTGACATTACTATATTACAGGATATTCAATATAGTACGGATATTTACCATAGTTCCGTGATATTAACATAGTCCAGGACATTCAATATAGTCCGGATATTTACCCTAGTTCCGTGATATTATCATATTCCAAGACATTCAATATAGTTCGTGGTGATATTAACTGAGGCATCAGTACAGAAGCCGAATCATCCTCTCCTTTTCGTTCAACAGGCAGGTGGATTTCATTAGTGATCTCAAACCTACTACGTCTACTCTGCCTAAAATTGCAGTTGGATTTCATTGGTGATCTCAAACCTACTACGCCTACTCTGCTTATCCACTGAAACAACATTTAGCCATCACTCATTTTTAATGATATCACCATTCTTATATATCAGTAGGGTTTCGATTCCCCTGGCGGACACAACGCATGTAGTCTATTTCTAGGTTAAAAATATGCATCAATAATTTAACGTTTGCCATGTTGGTTATACTTACCGAATATTTTCTTTATTACTGCATGGTGTAGTTAGTACGCTCCAAAAGATCGTAATAATAGCAAAAAAGTAAACGTTTGTCCTATCGAAGCCTGACTCTGTCAGTTATTGTTATTTTCTCTTTTAATAGATGTTCTTTCGAGTTTTCGACTCGCATTAGAAATTTATCTAATTATTTATGGAAATGTGATAAGCAAGAGAATTAAGAAAGTTTTCGAAAATAAAAATTTTTTAACCAAACTCTTGAATATAAAATATTGCTGTGTATTGGAGTCGATAAGTAATTACTAGAATGTAATAGCATTAAATATCGAAATATATTTCTTTGTGGGAAGTATAAAAAACAGTGATCTGCATTGTTTCTTCTTGTAGTTATTCATTTATGCCAAAGTGCGCGCTAGTGCCTGCTTCAATCCACTCAGTCCAAACGGTACAGTTAAAGTAACTTAGTTTTAGCTAACACGTTACGACAGCACCTGTCACTCCTAACCAGATGTAACTATGTCTGATCCTTTTTCACTTATTTACCTGACACCGAATAGTTGATGTTTGCTTTTGTAAAATAAAACTTTGTGTAGCTTCAAGTTATCTTGTGCTTGACTCTGACGACGTCTTTGTTCATCTTGTGAACGTCAGTCCTCGTTTAGTTCTTGTTATTGTTTTTCTTTAAAGATGATACAAACGACGAAACAGTTTTAAATTAACTGAAACTTGACAATAGTTTAATCTCTTTATACTTCATACATTTGACTGCAGGTTTCGTGTGTTTTTATCTCATAATCGATGTTCTATGTTTGTGCGTGTGTTCTTGTGTTCGTGTACCGTATAATACTTTGAATACGTGTAGTTTGTATAACAGCAAAATTAGCCATAGATGGGGAATATTTTGATCATACCGAAAGCACGTGATGATAACTAAAAAACTCTTCGACCTAAAAAACTCTTCGACTTTCCATAACGATCCAGTGGACTATAAAAGTAACAGCTTAATACAACGTTTTTTATTTTCTCACTTTACAAACTCTCCCCCCTAATGGGTCAGCGATAAGTTTACTGACTTACAACGCTAAGCCACTGTCGCTGAAACGACAACTTTTACAGGCTTGGATTGGAACTGGAAATCCGATTAAGTTTAAAACGTTTGTCTTTCCGATATTACACTACATAGTTCTATCACACAATTAACTTACATTAAGCACGCAGAAATGAATAATAAAATTAATTAATTTATCATAAAATATCGGTAGAAAACGCAGGTTAAGTCGTTGCCACAAAAGATGATATTTTGTGAAAATGGCATGAATGATATTCCGTATTTATATCTAATAACAATCTAACCAAAAACACCTTAGGTGTGAAAAAAAAAAGGGTGCGGCCAAAAAAAAACAAAACAAAAAAAAG